GCAAAATTGCACACAGCCCGTTCGTTGGTGGATCGGAGGATCGGATAGTAGTGGAGTAAAATCACAATGAAATTATGAGTTTGAGTGATTCCGAGGTATAACCAGATGAAACCTATATCATCTTGTAGAGGACACTCTGGGGCATAGGAAATGGGAATGTACAACTTTTTTTAGTAGGACTGAACTTTGAAATCGGCCCTTAAACGTGACTGAGCTCGAATTTGAAAAACTACGTTTTTCTAAACATTACCCGCTGTATTAATTTAAGCGTACAATCTAAAATTCTGATTTTTTTGCACACTTATACTTGAAACATGAGCGCTTCTAATGACAGTTCAGAAATTTCGAAAAGGTTTAAGGTTTTTTTGTTAAAAAGTTAGGAATATAGAATTATCAAAATCGTGCATCTAAAACTTCACCCTGCGGCGAGCAACGTGAATTATTAAAAATTTCTATACATATATATCGAATCAAATGTAGTAAAAACATTAAGGAAGTTTTTGAAAAAAAAATTAAGTCGCTAACTTTAACGGTTATAGAAATATGAATTTTTATCCGGGAGCTTTAAATGCGCTCTGATGCTGAAAGCGGCTAGCGGCTACCATTCTGAAAATCATCTGCGTTAGTGCGTTAGCGTTACATCTAGAAATAAAATAAAAAAATCTATAAACATAAAGTAATTGATTGAATCCTTTTTTATGAAGTTAGTTTAAATATTTTCTCCTTCGTCATCCTCATATAAATCAGAAACATTATTTTGACAACTTTTGCAGGAACAATTGCTGCAGCATGTTAAACCCTCTTTCAAGCAGACGCATTTATTATTTTGACATAATTTATCTTCGCAGAAGACATTCATTAGTTGCCTTATATCCATTGGTATGGGATCAGCAGTCATCAAAACAGGCTCAAAAATTCCATTATTCCTAGTCCAACCAAAGTTAACAGGGTCAAGTATAATAGGTATATGACTGGATATCCATATACGCAGTTGATATATGCACCTAAAATTTTGTTTATCGCATAAATACAGCTTCTTTTGTTATATGTACACCTAGCTCAGTCATGCTGGTGAAATGCATCATCTTTGGGTAGAAGTTCAGAAGCTTTATTGGAAGTTGTGGTCAATTGATATCTCAATTCATCGAGGGTTTTTAGGGTCTCGTTCTTATTTCTGAATAGGGCCAATGCAAATTTGGTGGCAAACATTGTGGTATCGCATCCTGTTGACACATGCAACGCTGGTAAACATTTATAAACTTAATTTTCCAGTTTCTGCGCTATTTATTGGAATGATCCGTTTTTTATTCCCTTGTCCTAATTCCATAGAAAGGTAGGTTTCTTTCAAAGAACTTACTTCAATAAATTCAGAATAGTGATAAATAAGTAATACCAGAACATTTGCATCTGCAGACTTCACCAACACTTTTTTTTGGTGAAGTATCTGATATTCATATAAGACGTGAATTATAAGTCGTGCATCAGTCTCATCATGATTCGATTTCAAATCTTTCAATTCGGTTACACGGTTACACCATCCTTGTTGACAGAAAAGCATAACTCTGAGTTTTCAAAACCACCAGCGATGATCAGAGTTTCTTCTATTTGTCAGCTAAATGTTCCAAAATATAACCAGTTACAAATTTCAATAGGGATTCTTCATTTTCTGACAATTTTAAAAAATTCCGAAACTTCATCACTTTTCTCTTTCTAGAAACTTCATACGCATACGTATCTGCGAAGTTACTTCTTCTGCGTCTTTCCAAAGACTTGACCGATTCATCTACTAAAAACCACCGTTCTCCTCAGTGCTTCATACCTTCGACCAAGTGAAAGAATTTGCTTCAGAAAAATACATGCGAGTTCAATAAAAGTTAAGTTGAAAATGCTTTATCATTTAGTCCTTGAATAAGTACCATGCCACCTATTATATAAGTGAATTGAAGGGGGTGTGACCCAAAAATGAAGTTTTTGTTCGAAAAAATCTAAGAACAAATATTTGAACCGCATCTTGCTACGATGAACCGTTTTCGAGTATAAGGGTGGTGACAAAAGCCTATGCTGTGACGTCACACTGGCTTCGGAGGCACAGTTAAAATATGTGTAAAATTTTCCAAGACAAAAGTCAACGATCTCACTTAAAGCAAATTGCAACCACTTAAAGTATAGGGCACGGTTCAACCACTGAACAAACAGAAGGCTATGATTTCGGCGGTTAGCCGGTGTGACGTCACAAGTTCTCGCAAAATTTATTTTCATGAAGAATTTTCTCGGATAGTATGTTGAATGAAAGACTGCGGTTTCCACGGGAGATTTTAGATTATTTTTCTTGATTTAAGTAGCTTAAGTTGCTTTTTTTAGTCACACCCTTATTTAACATCAGTTCGAAGAGAAGCGACTGTTGAATATGGTTCAAACTTTGATAATAAATCAGACTTAGCTGTTTTTCGCATACAAACGCACAAAACTGGAAAAGTCAGAAAATGCACCTCTCGGTGAATGCACGAATAATTCCGTCGCGACGCGGTTCACGATGGGCTGAGCGCACCCCAGGGCTCTTGGATAAAAATTTATATTTCTATAACCGTTAAAGTTAGCATCTTAATTTTTGTTAAAAAAACTTCGTCAATATTTTTACTACATTTGATTCGATATATATGTATAGAAATTTTCAATAATACACACTGCTCGCCGCAGGGTGAAGTTTAAGATGCACGATTTTGAAAATTCTATATTCCTAACTTTTTAACAAAAAAACCTTGAGCCTTTTCGGAATTTCTGAACTGTCATTAGAAGCGCTCATGTTTCAAGTATAAGTGTGCAAAAAATCAGAATTTTAGATTGTATGCTTAAATTAATACAGCGGGTAATGTTTAGAAAAACATAGTTTTTCAAATTCGAGCTCAGTCACGTTTAAGGGCCGATTTCAAAGTTCAGTCCTATTAAAAAAAGTTGTACATTCCCATTTCCTATGCCCCAAAGTGTCCTCTACAAGATGATATAGGTTTCATCTGGTTATACCTCGGAATCACCCACCCTCAGAAAACAGCGAGTTAAAGCAGTGATTTTATTCCACTATAGGGTCGATCGGGATCGCGGCGCATTACCGTTCAAATTTAGTAGGTAATAACATGAAATTATAATAGGTAACGTAGTTTTCATAAAATACCAAATTATTAAAGTTCTTTCTGGGGGGGGCCTAGCGACGTCTGGGGGGACCCGGCCCCCCAGGCCCCCCTGTAGTTACGCCACTGCTCTGGAAATGCAGGATTTAAACTTCATTAACACTAACACTAGATACCATGAGAGGCCGACATATGAACTTCTAATGAAAATCGACACACCTGTAATAGTTATATGAAAACTTCTAAATCGGAGAATAAGCTCTGAATGATGTCAACATTAGACTAAAATGACAACGGTTGTCTTGTTTGGATAACAATTGTTTCTGAATAATTGCATTGAAATAAATTTATCCGAAAAAAAAATTAAATGAATACTCTCAGCATGAGTAAATACAAAAATTGATGATTGACTACACTATTACAAAGCAGCAAAACAGAGAACAAAGATTCGTGGCGACCTGATGATGACCACTACCTGCTAAAAACAAGAATATATACATCCCAGGGGACAACGGAAAGGAAAACCGAGAACGCAAGATTGAGTCAAAGAAAATAAATATAACCCAAAGTCTCTAGAAGAACAAAGCGTAAAGGAGTTATACATGAAAAGATTGGACCAAAAATTACAGAGTAGTCTCAACTTCCATTACCAGCATATCAAAAAAAGTACCTATTCACAGTGCAGCCTTTTTGAAGCCTCATAGGCAAATACGAGAACATTGAAAGAACACGAGCCCTTATTGGTGGGATGAAGAAACAGTAGTACGAAATGAAATAGTACCTACAGAAAAAAAAACGAGTCATGGGAAAGAAATTGTACGCAAGTTAATACTTATCTGGAAGGTAAAACGAGCACAGAAAGTAAGAGAATACTGAAAACATCACAATTAAAACCATCGAGATTAAAACCAAGTATTTTATAACTATACCGTCCATACCTATTGACAGAAAAACGGGCAGAGTTTAAACGGGAAAGAGAACAGACACAAAACGTGAGAACCACAGGATTACCAATAAAAGTTATGAAGAAATTAAGTCGAAGATGTTAACAAACTCTGTAGGTTCTTGAAAAATTAAAGCGCACCAGGCCCAGAAAAAATATATGGAGAAATGAATATTCTTTGCCGAGGCATTGCAGTGACAACTACGTAAACCAGGGTACATGGAAAAGTTATGAAAATCAAAAATAAAAACGAGTACAAATATTCTGGTATGGTGCTAAAGGGGTGGATAAAGGAATGCACACACGTGGGAATGCCGATCAATGAATACATCCTATATACTCTATATACTTGTATACCAATTAGTTTTTTATGCTCTATATTCTGTTTAGTTTTATAGTTAAAATTATAACCATTTGCCGGCAAATTGAAAGCTTCAACTATTAATTCTCACTTTGCAAGTAAGTTTAATTATATGTTGTTTTCAGTTTGAAGCTGCAGATTTGATAACAGAAATAAGAAAGTCGACTATAGTCGACAAAAATTATACTTTTGGAGATTCAAGATTAATAAATTGTTATTTTGTTAATGCCGTTTTGGACCTTGGTCTGTTGTCATTCCCGTTGTATTAAATAAATAAATAAATAAATAAATAAATAAATAAATAAATAAATAAATAAATAAATAAATAAATAAATAAATAAAAATAAATGACTAATACCACTGATGCAATTCCATTTTTTTCATTGTTTAGTTTCATTGTTTTTAGTGTGCCTAGGTCATGAAGCGCTGAAAACAAAAGATGTTGAAATGATGATGATGAAAAATGATGAGAGTATAGACCTAACAAATTCGGAAAATATCACTGATAATCAGAAAACTAAGATATTTACGTTTTTCAAAGACAAACTATTGGGATATCAAACAAGTAAAATACACAAAAATAGGAAATGTAATTGTTTATTAAGAAAAAAAAGTAAAATTAATTTAAAAACCGCCCCAAGGTATAATGGGCGACTTAACAGTAAGTTGTGCACATCTCACTTTGGTGGACGGATCTGCCTAGTGAGCTCCTGTTGTGTCACGTGACATTGCCGTTCGCGGGTATTAGGTGGCATGATTTTTGAAATGATTGTAGTATTTAGGCGGCTTCACCTTCTCCTTCCTCCTCTTGGGCGGCAGTGAGGAGGGTGATCAAGGCGCCGGTATCGATTCTGCCGTTGTCATCGATGTCCATGGCATCAAACGCATCATCGACTTCCTTGGCGGTGAACTTGTCACCCCAGGTCATCAGAGCGTGTCTGAATCTGGAAAAGACAAACAATGACTTAGAATAAGTAATCCAAAATGTTTTCGAGTTTTTGTTGCAAAACTAGCTTATTGTTAAGCTAACATCTATTGGTACACCTAACCACCATTTTTATGATAATATTATTCAATATAAAGTTGTACTCACTTCTCACCGTCGATGGTGCCACCTTCATCAAAAGATTTGAAAGCAGCAATGACAGTTTCGTCATCGTCGGTACCACCGGAGTCGGCCATACGTGATCCGAAGAGACCCAATAACTGGGTAAGGTTGATAGCTCCAGGAGCTTCACGGACCATCTCGTCGAGTTCCTTCTCGCTGGCGATCTTGCCAACAGCATCGAAGGTTGCCCTCAAGTCTTCCTTGCTGATGATACCATCTTTGTCATGGTCCATCAGTTGGAAGGCTTCCTTGAATTCTGCCACTTGAGCCTGGAAACGATAAAGATAATGTTAATTTTCAAATTATGGGAGACTAGTATCGAAATTTACCTGGGAGAACATAGAGAACACATTGGAACCAGAACGTTTAGCTCTCTTGGACGAGCTCTTGGAGGATGTACGAGTTTCGGCGGCTGGGGCGGCTGGTGCATCACCTCCTTCTTCCTTCTTCTTCTTCTTAACCTTCTTTTCTTTGTCCGCCTATAAACAAAAGCATGGATATATTATCGAAGTCATTTTTTTTTTCGATAAAAGCATATATTTTTTTTGGGGTATACTAGTGACACTTAGACCAATGACGAAGTATGTTAGAACTGATATGGTGTAAGCTAAGATGCACATATTACCTAACGTTGGTACTTGATACCAGCAGTAACAAAATCTATTTTTGCAATAATTGATTCGTGCTTTGCAGTACTATAGGTAGGTACCTACCTGCCTAACAATTTTGTTGACAACATATTTCTATTTCAAATACTTTTTGAACTACTATATGGCTATCTGCCAGCTAAAAGTCCATCATATTTCGAAATAAAAATAACAATTGCCCTGTATTTTTCCTGAAGTTAAATTGCTCCAGTTCTGAGAACTGCCAAAAAATTTCAATATAAAAATAGCTATACTGCTGATGAAATCTGGCACAAGACCATTTTCTAATTATATAATTAACTGTAATCCAATCAGATGCGCATCCCCAAAATATTCTCATGAAATATCCCAAAATAAAACTTGGCTCTGGTTAAACTTCAATAGTCCATTTGTCGACGGATAGTAAACAAATCGGGGCGAGGTTCTATCAGTCAGTTTCAGAGAAATCCAGACACATTTTATCTTAGCCCTGTCTCAATTTGTTTTTGCAAGTTGAAGATTAACATTTATTTAACTATTCACAGTTTCAAAACACTCAAAGATAGGTACATGTGGAAAATTTCACGAAACATGTGCTCAGATATTCCCTAGAATCTGAACGGATTGTTTTATTTAAAATAAAATCATGTGTCAAAAATTAACGCTTATAATGCCACTTTTTTATTGAGATAATAAGAATTATCATGCCTACACAAAAACCCTAAAACTTTTGTATTTGTAGCATGGAGCACTGGCTTGTACAGCTTGCCTATAGGTCAAGTGCCCAGGCGAGTGTCAAAAATAATGGAAAACTTTCAAGCGACACTTACTATCAAAATTTTTTTAAATGAAACGACTGAGCGTTATCAACAAATTCGGACATTAGGCTTACCAATCGCTTCTGTTAAGATTTTTAATATTACATAAAAACTTGCACGCATTTTGTTAATCATCACAGACACATTTTCCATTGGTCATTTGCCGATACAATAAATACTTTACCAACAAGTGACCAATTTTTCATCCATAAACTATTACCAATGAGGCAAACAATATTCACAGTATTCAACACATATACAGATTACTTTTTCATGCACTAATTTTCACTAAGTATCACTAGTATAACCGGACTTATCCATTATTCTGGGAGCGGTTGGTGTTCCTATTACTTACCATTGTGTCTGTTTGTTCTCTAAGTACAACCCGCGACTGAAGAACTTTCTACCAATTTGCCGCTTAAATAACTTCTGAACTTGCGAGTGTTGATTTCGCGCAAACCTTAAAAGTAGCTGCTCGAAATAGATAAGCTCACATTCCACGGTTCCTCTACTTACAATTGGGTTAGAGATCTCGGGACGAATTTTTTTACGGAAATAGACCTATTGGCAACGCTTTTTCGAACAACAGTGTTGTCGTGCATAGGAAGTCAATAGAAATTATTAACTCTTGAACAATCCTAAATTTCCAACAATTGAAAATATTGTTAAAAATACTTTTACACGTATAGCTATACATTTTCTGGATAACTGTCGTTTTCTTGATTAGAATCTATAAATCTCATCCCCAACCGTTGTTACAAACTTTTCAAAATATCTCCACGCATAGCCCAATCTTTCCCTTAGACTTTTGGAAAATTAAAATTTGATTTCTGTGGAAGTGTATGTGACAGTCACATCTCTGGAGAAAAGTGAACACAAATACAAAAAGACGTTAGATGAACACACAAAGGACACCAATGAGGAAAAAACTCTAAATTGTATGCTACAACAAAATATCAAAAATGCGAAAACTGAGAAACATTGCAGTTCATACCTTGATGGTTATGAAGTAACGGAATAACTGAATGAGAAGAATTTGTGACGTGCACACCCGACGACCTATAAGAAGGCCACAAAAGCAAGCGAACCAACAAAAAACCTTTGCAAAGAAAATAAGCCAGACTCCAGACTCCTTAATTTTTTTGACCCCATCAGAGTCTATGAACTAAGAAGTACTTTGTATTCCTTGTTAAAATTTATCAAATTAACATTACGCAGTTCTCCATATGTCTCCTGTCCTGAGGCTCTTCATTTTTCAAGCAGCTACGGTGGTTTTTACCCTCTGCTTCCCTGGATAAGTTAGGCTAAAAAAGAAAGAAAAAAAAAATTGTGATAATTTACTGATACAGGGTGTTTGGTACATCGACAGTAATATTCCAATGAGTGATAGTTGGGGGTCCTTTGAAAGGTGTTTGATCATATTTACCCTCATTCAAAGTTTCGCCGCTTTCTGAGATATCGTCATTTTTAGATATTTTGAATCCATGTATTTTAACACATAACTTGGGCTACATATTTTTTGTATCAATCATTCGGTTTCTTTTCCGTATTTTTCGAAAGAGTGCATATCTATGCACTATAAGATAGCAAATCTAAAAATGCTGATATCTCAAAAACGACGAAACTTTGCATAAGGATAAATATGGTCAAACAGCTCCCAAATGACCCCAACTATCACTCATTAAAAACTTCCTATCGATGTACCAAACACCCTGAATATGATGTATTGTCTTTAATTGTAGCACTGATTTATTATTTATCTACTTACTTACTAAATTGAGTACCTACTGTGGGAGCAAAGTATCAACAAAACAAACAAAACTAGAATATACAACATTATCGTCAAAAGCATAGTCACATATAATTTAGAAGTTTGGCCACTAAAGGACAGAATCCTGAAAATCCTCGAAGCAACTGAAATATACTTTGAAAGGAGACGCACGTCAAAAATGGAAAATATAACAAACCAGAGAATCAGAGAAATTATGAACGTAAGACAAATTTGGTTCGGACATATACAAAGAATGGCAGACTCGAGGAATACTCAAGCAAATCATTGAGTGGATTCCAGAGACGCTGCAGACCAACAAGATGCAGGAGAAGTGGATTAGAGACAAGGAAATGAGAGATAGAGGCTCGGAGGAAGGTGCCTTGATGGTCAGAGACGATCGGAGATCGGGAATCGGAAGACGTAGAATATTATAAAGACCGATAAATACAGGGTGTTTCACGAACATCGAAACAGAGGCGTTTCGGGGTATTTCAAGGTCGATTTTCAAAAAACGCTCGGACACAAATTAACACTTTCCTGGCGTTCCTTTTGGACACGTCAATTTTAATTTTTTCGGAAGCAGACAAAAGAAGAAAATTGACGTGTACGAGAGGAAAGTGTTAATTTGAGAATAACTGGTCGAGAAGATTGTTTCTCATTTAGCCCATGGCAACTTTGACAGTGGATATCTTGAGAACTAATCATTCGATTTTCAAAAAAAAGTACACAGTCGTGACGAGAATCAAAATACCTTTAAAACAAGATACCACTCGACCCATCTTCCCTATCTAAATAAGAGGGATGATAGTCATCCCACCCAGGGGGAGCACCCTAGTGAAATACCGACGGAGTCAAAAAGTTTCCCCCTTGAATACAAAAATAACGTATCGGGGCGTTTTTTTTTTAAATCAACCTCAAAATACCCTAAAACGACTCTGTTTCGATGTTCGTGAAACACCCTGTATATAAAATGTAATCAAATCAAATCAAATACAGCTTTATTGTCCAAAGAAAACATGATAGGTATAAACCTCATGAGACAAATATATACATTACGCAATATTTAAAAAAACATCCTCTCTGGATCACGACGATAAGCCATTGTAATGACCACTGACCTTTGTGTTTTTACCTTTGTGTTTTTATTGTTGTATAGTTTTATTATAGTTAGCTTTGGTTAGTTGTCAGGCAAGGTTGTTGGATAAATAGTTATGTTTTTGTTTTTGATTATTATAAAAAAGCTAATAATTAAATTGCTCTCGTTCCGCTTATAAGAGTAGTCTTTTTATCCTAAAATAAGATTTTATTGTATTCAGCATAATAAGTGGTGACCCCAGTTTGAATCATGAATGAAAACAATGAAGCCGTTTTATCAGTAAATATTTAATTATATACCTAGTTAGGATTAATCAATTAATTGCTTCCGAGGAACTTATGGTGATAGAGCTTCTTCCCAATTACTTCGTAGGATGAAGCAATTATTAGGTGATATCAAGTTGGAAGATAGCTTTCTTAGAGAAATGTGGATGAAGCGGCTTCCATCCATTGTAAAGATGATCCTTTCATCTACTGCTAATACAATATCTTTAGAAGATTTGGCAAAAAAAGCTGATGACATTTACGAAATTTTTCAAACTGAACTTGTCAATGTTTCTGCTGTCAAGAGTTTTTCGGATTTCGACAAAATTAAAAGTGACACGGAAGACATCAAAAAAATGATTTTGAAATTTACAATTTGGATATCGCAACAGAAGTCATTTTCACCATAACGGATCTAATAAAAGAAGTAGAGACACCATGTTTTCATCGCGAAGTAGGAGTGCCAATCCAATTTCAAACTCCAAGTTGTGCTGGTATCATGAGCGATTTGGAGACAAGGCTGAGAAGTGTATCCCTCCTTGTGCGGAGGCTACGAATGTTAGTAGGTCGCAAAATAAATTTAAAAAATCTTACACGATGTGCAACGGACAGGAGATTTTTTGACGCTTTCACCTTTAAGTTAAAGATTGGTTATTTTCATTGTCGGTTGAACGTGCCATTTGACATTTAGTCCATGCTTCATATGTCAAAAATCAAGTTGAAGTAATCACCATAATTCATTTCTGCTAGAACAAAATCCGAGGAGACTAGTATTACCTACTATACATATGAGAAATGCAAGCGTAATCAAATCCAATTGGATAGGTACCTACCTACGTGCTTCAACTTAGACAAGAAAGAAAACTATATATGTGTGTGATTTATTTATTTGCACATTCAGTTCAGTAATCAGATTTCGAAAAAAATGGTTATTGATTTCGAGCCCACTAGCCGTGGTTTTATCACAATTCATGGCATTTCGCATTGAAAAAAAAATCCTTTTTCTAAAAAATGTTTGGTCATTTCAGAACAGTATCCCAAGTTAGGAAACTTTCTTCTAATTACCTACCGAGAATACCGTTGCAACTATGAGAAATGCGTATGATTATTTTTTATAGGAAATTAATTCTTTGCACAAAAGGTTTCCTGACATTTTTTCGTATCTTGCTTAGTTTTTGGGATATAGTGAAAAGAAAAAAAAATGCTAATATTTTTTACATTGAAACGCAAATATCTGTTGTTAAATGTTAAAATACCAGCTCTCAAAGGTAAATGAAGGGCTGTCATTATTGAAAAGATTTTTTTTAAATAAATGAACAAAATTATTGTTTATATTTAAAGCATTCATTATACAAATTAATCGGCGACCAAGGGCGCGCATGAGGCACATTCAAATAATTCTGCCAGATAGTTACGATTGCTCTGCCAATTGGCATATACACTTGGAATAATAGTTGGCACAACATCACACCTATTAAAAAATGAAAATAATAAAAAGTTCATTGCTACCACGACATGTTGGGGGTGTTCTGTCACCCTCTCAAGACTGGAATTAGGGCTAATCCTCGCGGATGGCTCTTTCGCCTAACTGAATCATCACTAAAAAATGTCACTGGCTCTCCTACTATATAGGGCCAATAAAAGAATGAGACACATCTTCATGAGTACGGAAAATTGTAAAATCTCTGTTCACGGCCTAAGAAAGAAGAAAGGAAATAAAGAAAAAGACGAGGAGCCAAAGGTGCCCACTTGCTACGGTGGAAGGTTCCAAGCTTGCTTGAATCATCCTTAGAATAGCAAAAAGTAGACGAAAGCCTCGAGGAAATTTCCAGCGAGCAACAAAGGATGCTTCCGCATATCACGCTAAGGGAGCATCTGCTGCCAAAGCGCGTTTGTTCATTGCGGCACACTTGGGAGCCGTATTGATCTAAGAACCAGATCAGGGGTCTACTAAGTAGAGGGATTAAAGTGATTTGGGACGTTCGGTGTGACGACCCCAGTGCATGCATTCTTCTAAACGAAAAAATTATGTCTTTCAGATCTCCCGCGGAACCTGTTTTCTTCTGGCTAACCCAAACTAACCCAAACGGAAGGTTCGGGTAAACTTTATCACCGAACAACCATACCCTGACCTAGTCTAGCATCACGGTATTTTTCTGCTGGACATGGGCAAGCACTACCAGAAGAGGCAGAGAGACTAGCCGAATACTGCAACAGGAGTAGATGAACAAAGGGGGTTCTGGACCAACACTGAAGTAACAACGGCCGCCGAGCCCCCGCCCTTTATTTTAATTGTGTTTTATTTTCTTGTCTTGAGCAGTTTGGAATATTTTTTCCGCTCTCAAACTGTTTACACCTTATATTTAGATCT